TGGGGAGCGGGGCGTGCGCTCCCTCCGTTTCAGCCTCCTTTCTGCCCGTGGCAAGGCTCAACGGGAAATACCGCTTTACTGCAAAAATAAAGCTTCTGTTGAGATGCTGCGGTTAAGACAATGCGGGGGCCTCGGGGTGCGTACTGGCCCCCAGGTTAACAGCTGCAGCTAATTACGCGGGAGGTTTGCTGTGGGTAAAGGGTTAGTTATCCAGCCCCGCCTTCCACATCGCTACGAGTTCATAAGTGACTCGTCTATGTCTTGATGCTCCGCTGTGGAGCCTCGAGCCACCCGTTTGAACATACAGGCGCAGAGCATGTCGGCTCCATAGTCCTCTACTTCCCTTGCTTGCTGGAGTTTTTGTCAGTAGTTCGAGCTGTAGTCTTGTCCCCTTCTCCTTGAGACATGCAGTATCTTTCTGGTGGTAGAGAGGATGCTGGGTGCATTTATTTAACATGAAATTACTAAAACCATCTGCCTAAAAAATCTCAGTCTGAGTTTCTGTGTGGACCTTATGTATTTAGGTGTATTCTCCATCTTCTTTTTGTACCAGAAGTCTACTTTCTGTAATCTCATTCATGTGGCAATCTACCATGAATAGTGCTATTTGATGTTCCGTTGCAATGCTTTACTGCTTTCTGCTACCTTTCTGATAAAGCCTACTGTCTTTGAGCCCTTACTCCATACAGCTTTATTCTTTTCTCTTGTGCTTCACCTTGTTACTTGATTATTTCAGTCACCCTTTACCACTGAACCCATGCTGTCTTCCATTGAGGAGGTCATTTGCAAGGAAGTAGACTGACCAACTGAAAGATACTCAAAAAAAAGGAAAAGATTTATTATCATTTAGTGTTTGTATCACCGTGTATGTGCACCATCTGTTGTGACCTTTATCTTGGTTCATAACCAGTCAAAGCATATAATTGTGCAAGCACACGAAAAACCCGATCCTTGCCCCAGAGAGTGTTCAGCCTAAGCGTAAATGAAATGGCAATATAAATACAAAAAAGAAACCCAGAGGCTTGCTGAATGTTTGTCATGATTGTCACAGCACATCACCAGTCTGATTGCTGTCTTACTTAGCAGAGAGCTTATGCCAAGTTTTAATTCAAAGGGTAAACTCTACAAAGCAGCTGCTTCAGATCCTGTAGTACCAAAATGCATAACTGTGCGGCTTTATACGAAGTTGTTGATATGGTTGAAATTTATGGAAGGTGTCGCTGGCAGTGAGGGAGCGAAGGCTGCAGGAGCACTGTGCAGTCAGCTTTCAGGATTGCTCCATGGTGTTTAAAAAAAAAAAAGAAGAGTATTGAGCGAGTGGAAGGCTGGATTCCAGGGAGACCCAGCACTCACTGCTAGCTTGCTTCTTCCCATGGTCAAGTTTCACTGCTGGTAATATGATTTGAAAAGGCAGCGTGCAGGAGGAGGAGGCAGGGACAGACCACGAAGGAGGACTTTAGAAACATTCCCTGGGCATGGATGGATGGTGTTAGGAAAGCCAGAGTTCAGCTGGAGTTGAGACTCGCAGTGGATGTCAAGAGCAATGAGAAGAGCTTCTGCTGCGACATAGTAGTCGTATGACTATATATGAATATATTCGTATATGTATAAGGAATTCGTATATGAATTCGTATATGAATAAGGAAAAATGTTGAATCATTGCTAAATGGAGCCAGTCATTTGGTGGTGATGGACACCGATAAGGCTGAGGTACCCGTGCCGCCTTCACCAACAAATGGGGATCCTTTGCGTCACTTTGGAGTTAATTGTGGAGTGAATCCTCTAGGAAAATATTTCTCATCATGGAAGGAGGAGGCAGGCATGGATTTAGGTATGGTAAATCATGCCTGACTAGCCTGATTGCCTTCAGTGATAAAATTATTGGATTTGTAGGCAACAGCAGAGCAGGGTATGTCATTTACACTGACTTCAGCAAGGCTTTTGACACTGTATTCTTGTATCCAAGTTAGGATGTTATGGCCTGTAGGGGTGGACAACGAGTAACAAAAGTAAAAAAAAATGGTTGTGTGGTCAGGCTCAGAGGGTTGTGATTAATCAGACATGCTATACCTGGAGGCTGGTAACAGCTGGAGCACTGCATGGGTCTGTCCTGTGACCTGTCCTGTTTAAAATCTCTATCAGTGACCTGGAGGAAGTGTCAAAGTGCACTCTCATTAAGCGTGCAGGTGACAGCAAACTAGGGGCATCGGTTAATTTACTCGAGGGCAGAGCTGCTGCTCAGAGGGACCTAGACGGGCAGGAGGAATGGGCCAACAGGGATCTTATGAACCATATTCACAGGATCACAGCCAGTGATTATCCCCCCCTGCTCAGCCCTGGGAGACCAGTGTCCAGTTTGTGGCTACCAGTACAGGAAAGATGTTTGTCAGTTAAAGGGAGTACAGCAAAGGACTACCAAGATGGTCAGGGGCTGGAGCATTTGCCCTCTGAGGTGAGGCTGCAGAACTGGGGCTTGTTCAGCCTGGCACCTTCACTGGGGGACCTAACAGCAGCTTCCCATGGGGAGGGCATTGAGAAGATGGAGCCAGGCTCCTTGGGATGATGTATGGCAGGAGGGTGAGAAACAACAGGCGTAAATTGAAATGAGATATTCAGACTGTGTATAAGGAGAAACTTTTTCACCACAAGGGCAGTCAGTGCCGCAGGTTGCACAGAGTGGTTGTGGCACCTCCATCCCTGGAGGTTTTCAAGACTCAACTGGATAAATCCCTGAGCAGCCTGGTGTGGCCTCACAGCTGACCCTGCTTGAGCAGTAGGTTGGAGTGGAGATCTCCTGAGGTCCTTTCCAGCCTGAGCTGTCCTGCGATACTGTAAGCCGCAGGGGAACTGCACTGAGTATGCTGACAAGCCTCATTCAGCTGAAGAGTTCAAAAGTTACCAGTTTCTACTGCTCTCCATTTATGAGCAAATGGGTGTACATCGTCCTGATTTCTGAAAGTTTTTCTGCTTGGCAGAGATTTGCGATGATTTTGTTGATGAGTTTGAAGAGAATAGCCACTAACTTACATTGATGCAAATACTCTTTTGCTTCTAGGCAAAGACGGGAGAACAGCACATAGTGTGTTGTTTAATCAGATAAATGAGGAAGGATTCCTTATTTAATAGATTTGTAAGTTAGAGATGGGTGAAGGAATCTGGTTTGGTTTCTGTGTTGAATGGGAAGTTAAGTGAACGCTCATTCCTGTTTCAGGGAGTTCTCCTGCTGCAAATTAGGGGTAGTTTTTTACCACTTAAAGCAGCAATTTCTTCCTGTGAGCTCTCAAAATGTTTCAAAATATGTATCAGTTTTAGTCAGGTGAAAAGGTATTTTTTGCTTGTGTGTATACTGTTGTTCCTGTGGGGTAGGAAAAGCAGATCAGGGGAATAAAGCAAACTCATTCCTACTGCACAGAATGCACCTTCAGGAAGATACTGGAATTACTTTTAAGGCAAACTGTGACAGAATATAACCCGTATAACTAAGGAGGGAGATTCTTTCTTTGTGTTTTGGGACTTGCTTCTTTTCCTTTTGCAGTGTCTTCCAGAGCCCATAAATCCTAGCTAACATGTGCCACTTGTCAGTCAAAGCTGCATAAAAATAGCAAAAATGTGACTTGTTGCATTTATATTTTATGATGGTTTTCCTCTCAAATGAAACTTATAATAAAATCCTGGTAAAGTGTTTAATATCTATTGTTGAAGTGTAAAGAGAACAAAATATTATTCTGCTTTGTTTTCCAGTGGCTTTAAAACGCATGCTGAACTTCAATGTTCCTCCTGTTAAAAACAGCACAGGAGAACCAGTATGGAAGGTAAGAACTATTTGAACAGGAATAGAAGAATATTATAGTGTTCAAAAAAGTACAGATTTCCAAGTTTTAACTAACTTGAGTATATTCTCTATGTTCTTAGCTTGTACAAAGTATTTTTTCCTGTGGGTTCTAAATAGAGAATTGAATATCAGAATTGCTGAGAAAAAAAATACATATTTGAGATATCGGCTGCCTGAAGACCCAATGACTGATTCTTTAGGCAGTATTTTAATGAGCAGCTGAGGAGGACATTTTTGGAATATACTTAGGTCTTATTGATACCTGTTGGCAGAAACTTACATGATACCTTACAGGTGAACTCACAGAGTGAGACAGAAGCCCATAGAAAGGGAAGAACTATTGATAGCCTTAAATTTAGGACAACTGAACTCAAGCTACCTTTATTAGCTTTGAAAAGTAAGTAATTTTGTGAGAAGTTTTTGCTACTACAAAGAATATGTTCTGTCTCTTCATCCATTCTGTTGCCTTTTTTTTTTGCTAGTTCCTTTTTTTCCTCTCTGCTTCTCCTTTTGTTTCCTTCCAAATGCAGTCAGAGAAATTCTGCACTTACAATAACAAATTTTTGACGGCAGATTCCTGTTTGACACTTTTCAGGAGATGGAACTGATTAATTTATTTCCCTTTATCATTGAGTTTCTTTTCTTTCTTCTTTTTTTCTGCATTAGTAAGCACAAATGGAAGTCCATGACAAATTAATGATATATTATAAATTGGTAAATGTTTAGCGTTTTTCAGGTTAGGATAGCACTTCCTTGTATTCCTGTACCCACTGTATCCTGTATTCTACTGTATCCAGTTTTTACACCACTTTGTAAAAAGATGTGTATCTGTTTTCAGGTTCTCATTTATGACAGATTTGGCCAAGATATAATCTCACCTTTGCTGTCAGTGAAAGAGCTGAGAGATATGGGGATCACTTTGCACCTGTAAGTAAAAAAAATCAGGAATTTGGTTTTTGCTAAAAACTACTTTATTTACTGTTCCTCCAAATTCACAACCCAAACATTGAAAGCCATTTGCTGAATAACTGCTAAAATAAAGATTATACCCTGACTTGTTTCTAAAATCAGGTGGTATTATTCAGAATTAGGGAGCGGAAAGGTCATTCTAAAGACACTGTTCAGTAGGTTTTATTACTAAGTAGAAGAGGCCCCTGCTCAAAAATAAGAATTATCCAATAGGTGTTTTGGGGAATCTGTCTGTACAATTCCCTTTGTGTTCATATATCTTAACATTATTTTGGCACAAACTGTTTCATGGGACTGTGCATATTCTCTGCTTGTCTTTTTGCACATAGATTTTAATTGTCTCTCATCAAAGATACAGAATCTTTAAGTATTATTTTAAGAGATTTCCCATTTCTCTTTCTCCAAATTACATTTATTTAGTTCATTGTCGTTCCTTATCTGTGGTACTAGTCATGGACGATCTTTGAAGATACACTTATTTTTCTCAAAAGTTTATTAACATTTACTAAGTGAAGGCTAGAAATGGAAACACAGTTTAATGTGTTGACGTATCAACAGAAATGTGAGAGAAACATGTAAGCGCCTTGCCTGTCTTTTTTTTAATGAGCAGGAAAGGCAAGTTTAATAGTATGACACATGCAGGTTTTTTGTTATCATGTCAACAATTAATAATTGGTATATGAACTTTGTGGAGGCAGTATTTTCCCTTCTTCTGAATGGATTAATCTATTTTTGAAGATTTGCGAAGCCTTTTCTCAAGCTTTGAATAAACTTTGGAGACCTCTATTAATATATTCAGCCAGAAAATATACAAATACAGGTTTGCTATTTTTTCATGTTTTGTTCTTGCTAAAATCTAGCTAAATATAGGGAGAAATTCTAGGAAATTAAATGTGTCTGTATAAATAAATAATTTCTTTAACTTTTCTAATTTTACATAAATCAGAGGAGGAACGCATCAGAGATGTATTTTTTTCTTCCTTTCAGGCTTTTGCATTCAGATCGGGATGCTATTCCAGATGTTCCAGCGGTTTACTTTGTAATGCCAACAGAAGAAAATATTGACAGAATGTGCCAGGTAACTTGCTTGCTTAATGTTTCAAATGAGTGGACACAACAGAGGTATTAGCACATATTTGTCATGAAAATATTACCCAACATTTTTACATGCAAAACTTCATTTTCCCAGAAAGTAGAAGGGTAAATATGTCATCTGTGTTTTGGAGAGGGAGTTTTGGGAGTGAAAAGACAAGAGGCAGCGGGCAAAAATCAAAATATAGGCAATGCTATTTAAAAAAAAAATATTTTAATGAGGGTGGCTGAATGCTGGAACAGATTGCTTGGAGAGTTTGTGGAGTCTCCATCCTTGGAGATGTTCAAAATTTGGATGGACACAATCCTGAGCCACCCGCTCTTTTTGACTCTGCTGTGAGCAGGGGGGGGGAGGTTAGACTTGGCTAACCTCAGTTTTCATGGGAGGAATTGATGGAAGGTTGGCATCTTCACCCAAGGAAGGAAGAAGAGCGAAGGGTGCTTTTGGTCAGTGGTAAGGTGTAGAGTAGTTGTTGCCATCTGGTAGCTTAAATTTCATTTTCTGGTTTTTGCAGTTCTGTGTTAGGTTAGCTCTATCTAGTTGTGTAGTCAAAAACGCGGCTATATGAACAGACAGCTAAGCACTTCCAAAAATTTAGTTTGACTGTGGATAATTGGAACATCACGTAGTAAAAGTAAAAATGTTTTTTAATTAGTCAGAAATATATTAGTACTTATTCAGGAAAAAGGTTGTGGTTTTCTTTCCTTTTAGGATCTTCGAAACCAGCTTTATGAATCTTATTATTTAAACTTTATTTCTGCCATTTCAAGAAGTAAACTGGAAGATATTGCAAATGCTGCCATAGGAGCTAATGCAGTAACTCAAGTGGCTAAGGTAAGAAAATCCCCCAGTGTCTAATGTTAAAGGTGCTATCATTACAGGTGTTACTGCATTTTTACGTGGACACTTCAGTGCCATACACAGCTTTTCAGACTGAATCATGAACAAAACAAATGTTTAGCTAGATTCGATGTCAGGCATACTGTGGGGGGGAAAAAGGGAATCTGCAGTCATCTCAGTAACGCACCTTAGTACTATACTTCAGCTTAGTCAAAAGTCCAAGTGCTGCAACACCTTTGTACTAAATGATAAGAAGGGAAATAGAGGTTTCAGAGTATTCCCAATCTCAGCAGTTCAATGAGTGCATCCAGTGCATGTATAATGGGGTGGGGGGGTTTAGCTCCTAAATACATTAAAAGTGCAGTATGAGAGCAGTTGTTATTTTAAACAGGCAGCGTACTGTACAGGTGGATGTTTCATACATACACACTATTATTCAGTACACTCCTATACCTTTATGGTTTAAAGGCAGGTCTCAGGTATGTAACCTCTTACTTTTGCTGAATGCCTGTACCAAAACCTGCACATTATTAACTTATTATTTTCATATATACTTTTATACATTCACTTTTCCTCACTCCTGTTAGGGAGTACTACTGGCATGAGAGAAAGAAACTGTTGTGAAATGAAATGAAAACTACTAGTATTGTTTAAGCTTTAGGTCTCCAGCAGGACTAAATTAGCGTAGCACTGTGAACTTTCTTAAATCTATTTTTCTGGTGTGATGTCCTATTAATGGTTTATGTTATAGAAAGGTTTAACTTTTTTCATGAATGTACAGGTATGTTACAGAAAAATTAGAATTCATGAGCCATAATCTCTCATTGTGTAAATACTGCCCTCTTTCCTCTCTCCTGCCTGAGAGCTCAGGACTGTTTATGTTGTAGTCCTTCAAAGTAATAAAAAATAAACCTGTGATGTTATGATGTCCTCCATACGTGTCTTTTCAGTAATGATTTGCTACTAAAAATTGTCCAAAGAAATACTTGGACTGTTTTCTTTTAGCACTTTTCAGGTGCTCTAATGTTTTGTGTTATCAATCCTTACACAAGCTTTTTAATTCATACATGTATCTTGCATTTCTTTCTTTTAATAGGTAGTTGTGTAAAAGGTTCAAAACCAAGTAGCAATAAATCACAGATAGTTGTTGTTTTTTTATGCTTCCATCGGGACTGTTCTGACCATTATTCTTTGATTCCTAGGTGTTTGATCAGTATCTTAATTTTATTACTTTAGAAGATGACATGTTTGTATTGTGTAACCAAAACAAAGAACTTGTTTCATATCGTGGTAAGTAAAATTTATATAAAAATTACACTGAAATGTCTAAAGTTGAAATTTACTTTTGAAGTTTTAGCTAATAACAAGCAATGATTTTACTTTATTTTGATCTGCTCAGAATTCAGAATAATGAGATGTAGTTTAAAGTCCTGAAGGAAGCCGTTCTTAGACATTGATTTCAGCATCTTTACTACACAGCTATTGTAATATTGAAAAATAATGATGTATTTTTAAATAACAAATATAGTAAAGCTGAACTGCAGTATAGACATATGGATAGTAGGGCTTTTTATACATGGAATAATACAGGAAAAATTTCACGTTGCTCAAACATGTAGATAGACACTGTGGGTGGCTGCTGTGTTTAGGCACCACTATCTAGTCATAATCCCTTCTGCTATTCTTAAGGAATTAAGTATTTTGTTTCTGTGTCAGTTGGAAAGGTACTGTAAGGAATGCAAGAAAGATGACTTTAACTGATAGTTTCTTGTATCTTCTAGACAGTGACTGGTCAGTACCTGCTTTTCTTATTCAAGACATGAAAACTTTGGGGTGTGCAAGGGGAGATGGTTAGGATCAGGGGCAGGAGTAGCACAGGGAGGAATCTGGGAAAGGGCATTCTAGAAAATAAGAAATTATGATTGCTTCTGCAAGCATGTGAGCCAAGCATGTCAGCTTCTTTGTAAAGTCTGAGAGTTGCAAGTGAAGACAGCCTCATGGAACTCTCCTCTTGCTTTTCTTGGGACTTCTGTTGGATCTGGTTTGGAACCTAGCAGGAAAATCAACTGGCTGCCTTTGGTCAATTACCTCTAGAGCTATGGTGCTGTGGCAGCTCAAATCAACATATGTACTAGTTGTCATAATCATCCACATGGTTTTCCTCCCTCCTTTGGTTTGATTTTTGTGCTCCCCTGACCCATTTAATATGCTAAATCAACAGACAACTATCACTCTACTTCTCCTGCCCCTCTTACTCAAATGGCTAGCTATTACAGGGTGGGTTGTCTTGCTGCCCCTGCTGTAGTTTCCCTCATCGTTGCCTCCTTTTACATCAGAACCAGTAATCTTGGAGCTGCAGAGTGTTTGCTGAGGTGACTCATTCCATAGGAAATAGCAGCTCATTTGTGTGATCTACAAATCCAATGCAAGGGAAGCAGCAGAAGTGTGTCAGTCAGGGGCAAGATAGCCCTTTTTTAGCAACAACTTCTCATTACTTAAGTGTAGTCACAGTGCCTACACATAGTGTCAAATGGTTAATTCCTGATTTATTTGGATGCACAGAATACTCACTAGTGATGAGGTAGAGATGAGATGTCTCCGTATGCCTAACATTTAGCAGGGAGATTTTTCTCTCTTGCCCAACTTCCAAAGTCAGTACCTTTGTTTAAAACTGGATCCGTAACTGAGTTCTGTCTCACACTCTGGGGATTGGTTCCATTGTCAGAATGAAGGGCAGTTTTGCTTGAAAAGCAGACTTTTTTTTTTTTTTTTACTAGAACCTGCTTTTAAGGGTTTTAGTAATAATTGTTTTGTGATGTGTTTGTGTGTATGTAAAGATGCTTGACCAGCTCTCATAAGATTCCTGCTAGCTAACAAGGAATTTGGATTAAAATGACTGAAAATGTTTTGCACCCGTCAGTTTCTCTTGGGCCACTGAAATTTGCTACATGACATGTGGTTTCACACTGTGTTTAAACCAATCTAGAAGTGGGCTGTTTCCAAAAGCTGATTGAACAGAAATCTAATCTCCCATAGAGAATGATTAGTTTTCCATTCGAGCACTGAGCCGATCCATCTCGCTGTGTGAGTTCTAGATCTGACACAGGCAGGCGCTGGGAGTGCAGGGGTGAACAAGTAGTGGTCTTTTTTGCCTTTGGAGAGTAACCCTAGCAGGAAACTGCCAGTTTGGATATAGTTTCATAACCTACATAAGGCAATGTAAATCTGATGGTGATGAAAGATGGCTGCTGTTCTTGCAGCAGCACTGCTATGTGTGTGGTCACACGTGTAGCTGAATGGGTGAACTAAGAACAAATATAACAAGGTTAATTTTTAGTTTCCTGATTTTCTGGCTGTATGACTGCATTTACAGAGAGGTAATGTCAGGACAAATAAGCATGATAACATTCTTCAGGCTTTTCATAGACAGAAAGAAGATAACGCATTCTCTCTGTCCATGTAGTAATGGACAAGAAGTGATGAGCTTAAATTACAACAAGAAAGTTCCTGGTCAGATATTAATTAGGAGCACTTTCTAACATTAATGATAGTGAAATAGTACAATAGATTACCTATAAGGATTATGGCGTTTTCATGACTTGGAGGCTTTGGGAATTGATTTAGACACAGAAGTAACATAGGTTTAACTCACTTTTGGGCAAGAGGGCTGACTAGATAATCCCTTAGGCTCCCTTCGGTTCTGTTTTTCTATGACTTTGTAGAAGGAGGGGTAAATGTGTAATATTGGTATAAAGTCAGTGTTCCTGGCATCCCGTTTGATGTTATTTGAATGCTTCTTCACCAAATTTGGATCAACTTTGTAAAACAAGAAAATGTAGGAGACCTGAGCTTACTTTTCTGTAATAGCTGCATCCCCAATAAGCTTGTTACAGTGAAGAGAGACAAATTTATAGAAAACATGATAGAACATTTTACTGAAAGATTATTAATGGAGTTTCTCAAAGGTTGACCTAAGGAGCAGTAATACTGAATATTTGTGTTGATCGCTGTGGTACAAAAAAAAGAATGTGCTCATAAAATGTGCATGTTACACATAACCAGAGGCACTGGCAGTATGCAGATTACTAGAATATCATAAATGAGTATTTTAAACATAATAATAGGGAGGGAATTAAATTTTAAAATTGAGAAAGGCAAGGAATTAAGATTATTTCCCCCCTGTGAACTGGGAGGCCATTAGTTAGAGATGACTACGGAGCGATAGCCCCAGTTAATTTCAAAGTTTTGTCATTACAGAAAAAATACAGATACTGGGAACAGTCTGCCTTTCTTGGTGCTGATATTTCAGAAACTTGAACTCAGAATTAAAAAAACGCTGAGGGGGGCACTTCGGTTGCTGCTGTCATCCTAGCAGCCTAGTAGAAAGTTTGACTTACTAAGCATAGCTGCTGGTAGAAATTGCTAATATAATTCATATCTCTAAAGTTCTCAGAGGACAAAAGCTGGGGAAGTTAAAGTTCGAGAATGATTATGGCTGGCCATGCATAAATTTGGGATGGAAGGCTTATTAATCTTCACAGGTTTGAAGTTCATTATT